TGCAGCTTTTTTATGTTTCTCTGGCCCACTGGATAAAGAAAAAAAAAACGCGCATCGCACTCCGTCAAACCACAGATAGACACAGCGACGTGACGATTATCCTGTTGCAACAAATTCTAGGCCATGAATAACATAAACTAATAGTCATAGTAACGACCATCACACCTCGGAACCGCGGTGTGCTCCTACCTCCCGTCTTCAGGTAGCTTCGAGCTCTCTCTGCCCTATACGCTGCGTCGCGCGCAGGCAAGTGTCGGACAAAATTACTCTGCATTGCTACAAATCCCGACTTTCCTCCCCAAGCAGGCTGACGTTTGTCTATCAGTCAGCAGGTTAGCGAGGTCGATGTCGACTGAAGAAGCACAAGAACACGCACACGCACATGCATCCACGTGTGAAAGACCAAAACCTTAAAATGCCCACACAGATATATGTCGTGCGTGAAGCTATAGTAACGAAGCCCTCTTTGCGTTTACTCGTGGACCTGCTTTACCCCTGCAGATAAACACCACCGCCACCATTTTTTTACGAACTCGCCACAAGAATCGACAAGAACAAAAAACACACGCCAGAGCGAGAGACGACACTAACAAAAAATCACTAGCGTGAACCGTCCGCCTACCTCACGCGCCGCTTGGGCATACACGTAAGGGCGGTGCGATAAAATAGGTGAACGTTAAGTGCAACTAACTGCAAAACAAAAACGCACTGCCGTGCCGACAAAAAAAAAAAAAAAAACGTGCACACACACTGCTGCTATGTAACACAAAAAGCAGTCACAGAAAGACAGAAAGAAAAGACGATTCCAGGAAAATTCCTCACGGTACCAGCCATTCCGGCAGACGAGCGGGAAGAAGGCGTGTGGGGGTAGAAACACAAAAAAACGCGAAAATAACCACCATCGAACCACACTTTTCCCGCGTCACAAAAAAAGTAAGGAGGGAAAATTATGCCATGGGAGAAGGCCGGTGTCCCGGGTAATACCGTGATATTTTTACCAGGAGACGGGGAGTGACCCGTTCCCGACCCTCGTGAGGTAGTTCGGAGCGGCGGAACCATCATCGGTTCCGGATTCGGGAGATGAAGAGGAGGGGGAGGAGGAGCGCCGGCTGACGTGGAGGCTGCACAAGCGGCTCGTGGCGTCGTCGATATTTACGTAGCAGCCCTGGAGCCACCGCGAGCCTTTCTCGGACATCGTAAACGCCTGCTGTTGTTACGGGGGACACATGGACAGGGGTCCAAAACGAAGGGGCGGGTAATCATGTAAAAGCATGCTATAGAGCCATAGAGTCGTTAGACCATTGACCTCGCATCCCTACAACGTCCGGACGTTGCAAAATGCCGGGTTTGCACCGGCCCAGGCTACGTTCCACAAGGATGGACCAGAAGCTGACCATCATCATCCTTGCGTTTGCTGTGCCAAACCAGATACATCGGGGGCGGTAAGAAACATGAGGGGGATTGAGAGGCCCACAAGAGAGGGATGGGCACACGTACGCTAGTGAGAGCCCAGAGACTTGAGAGCGACAGAAAGAGAGAAAGAGAGAAAGCCCCTTCCAAGAAGAGAGAGAGAGAGCGAACGGCGTCCTGCCGTCTGTCTGCTGATATCACTACTACTGTGGGACAAAGGAGCAGCAGCAGCAGCAGCAGCAGCAGCAGCAGCAGCAGCAGCAGCCAAGAAGAAGCAATCCATTCTGCACCTGAAATTGCAGCAAATCCCGACGGCAAGATACCTTCGCCGCCCCCCGCCCCCCACCGCCCCACCGTTTCCTCCCTCGTTCCCCCTGGAGCGACAAAAAGTGCTTCATCATCCTCGTGTTGAAAGAAAGACGAGATGCACAAGTGGAGCGCCTCCTTCTCCAAAACAGGAGGCAGGCACAAACCCAAACTCCTCGCAAATACCCCCCCCCGCCTCTCTCTCCCCGTACCTCGCGGCCGTGCAGCATCCTCCTGTTATTGAACACCA